AAGTCTCTACCTCGTCTTATATCGGCTATACAAGCGGAGAAGATGTTGAGAAAGGAGTCATGCTAGGGATTCTTGGTTAACATTATCGGTTCTCAACATACAGAATCGACTGTTAACGATATTAACATCGTGCGAGACTTTACAGACGTGTTTCCATTAGATTTGCCAGGCATTCCACTAGATAGGCAAGTGGAATTTATAATTGATTTGGTTCATGGAGCAACACCAGTATCTAAGGACTCGTACTGAATGGCACCGAAAGAACTTTAAGAATTGAAGTTGCAATTAGAGGAGTTACTGGAGAAATGTTTTATTCAACCGAGTGTATCTCCTTGGGAAGCGCCTGTACTTTTTGTCAAGAAGAAGGATGAGAGTATAAGGATGTACATTGATTATGGGGAATTGAAGCATCTGACCATAAAAAATAAGCACTCGCTACCAAGAATAGAAGATTTGTTTGACCAGTTAAGGAGTGCTACAGTGTTTTCAAAGATTGACTTGAGGTCAGGGTATCACCAGCTGAAAGTTAGGGCAAGTGATATACCGAAAACTGCTTTCAGTTCTTGTTATGGGCATTATGAATTTACTGTCATGCCTTTTAGTTTGACCAATGCTCCAACTGTATTTATGGATCTCGTGAATAGAGTGTTTCATCAATACTTAGACCAATTCATCATAGTATTTATTGACGACATACTTGTGTACTCAAAGGATAAGAAGCAGCATGAGGAACAACTTCGAATAGTACTCGAAACTTTGAAAAAGGAGAAATTATATGCCAAATTCAAGAAGTATGAATTTTGGCTTGATTGCATAGGTTTTCTTGGCCACGTGGTTACCGTCCAAGGAATCGAAGTAGACATTGCTAGAGTGTAAGTAGTAACAAATTGGCCAAGGCCGACTAGTGTGGGTGAAGTCCGCAGTTTCTTGGGATTAGCTGGCTATTACAGAAGATTCATTGAAGGCTTCTCAAGAATAGCAGGGCCGATGACTCAGTTAACAAGAAAGGGTGTGAAGTTTCAGTAGACAGAAAAATGTGAAAAATATTTTCAAGAACTCAAGTGAAAGACTAGTTTCAGCTCCTATATTGACAATACCTGAAGGTTCGGAGGGATTTGTGATCTACAGCGATGCCTCTAAGTAGGGTTTGGGATGTGTACTGATGTAGTATGGAAAAGTGGTTGCTTATGCCTCGAGATAGTTGAAGCAGTGTGAACAAAACTATCCAACGCACGACTTGGAGCTTGCAGCGGTAGTTCACGCCTTAAAGATATGACATCATTATCTCTATGGTGGGAAGTGTGAAATTTATACAGACCACAAGAGTTTTAAATACGTTTTCATACAGAAGGAACTGAATATGAGACGGGGGAGATGGTTGGAATTAGAAAAAGATTACGACTGCATGATTCATTACCATTCAGGTAAGACTAACGTAGTTGCAGATGCCATAAGTAGAAAGACAGGATCATATTTAACAGTTCTACCCACAGTGCAGAAACACTTGATAAGGGACTTTGGGAAATTGAGATTGAAAGTTATCCCGCCACCGACTCAGACTACAGCAGGAGTAAGAGCGTTTATGATTCGGCCTACTCTTCGGGATCGAATCAAGGAAGCACAGAATAAGGATCCATTTCTATAGAAGATAAAGGCTGAGGTTGGTACAAACAAACCTATGGGATTAGAAATGTCTGCAGATAATGTGCTGATTTTGAAGGAAGGTTATGTGTACTTAAAGATGAAAGAATAGGAAATGAGATACTGGAAAAGGCTCACTCTACCCCGTATTCAGCACATCCAGGTGGTACGAAAATGTATCGAGATATCCAAGATACATTTTGGTGAAGAAATATGAAGAGAGAAATTGGTCAGTTCATTGAAAAATGTATTATCTTGCTGGTCAAGGCAAAACACCAAAGGCCATCAAGATTACTGAAACCTTTGGATATTCCAGAATGGAAGTGGGAACACATAACGATGGACTTTGTGGTAGGCCTCCTATGGATAGCAAAAGGTCACAATGCTATCTGGGTAGTGGTTGATCGTTTGACGAAGTCAGCCCATTTTCTACCAATCAAGGTAACTTCAACATGGAACAGCTTGCACAGTTTTACATCAAAGAGATAGTCAGATTGCATGGAGTTCCAGTCACTATTATTTCAGATAGAGATTCGAGGTTCACATCTAAATTTTGGAAAAGTTTGCAGACAGCCATGAGGACGAAACTGAAGTTTAGCACTGCTTATCATCCTCAGACGAATGGGCAATAAGAAAGAACCATCCAAACTCTGGAAGATATGTTGAAGGCATGTGTTTTAGATCTTGGATGTAGTTGGGAGACACACCTGCCTTTAGTGGAGTTTGCTTACAACAATAATTTACAGGCCACTATAGGTATGGCCCCATATGAAGCTCGTTATGGTAGGAAGTGCAGATCCCCTATCCATTGAGATGAGGTTGGAGACAATAGAATTTTAGGTCCTGAAATAATTGAACAAACAGTTGGAACAGTTGACAAGATTAGAGCTAGAATAAAGACAGCACGAGACCGATAGAAAAGTTATGCATATCGTAGAATAAAGGATTTGGAGTTTAGTATGGGTGACAAAGTTTTCCTTAAAGTAGCACCCATGAAGGGTGTATTGAAATTTGGCAAGAAGGGAAAGTTGAGACTACGATTTATTGGATCTTTTAAGATCCTTGAAAGGATTGGTGTTGTGGCTTATCGACTTATCTTACCACCTGAACTTGCAGCAGTGTATAACATGTTTCATATATCGATGCTCAAAAAATATGTTTATGATCTCAATCATGTAATAAGTTATCAGACATTGGACGTACAGAAGGACTTATCATATAAAGAAACCTCGGCGATGATTTTCGACAGAAAGCTACATCAACTTAGAAACAAAGAGGTTTCCTTGGTCAAGGTCCAGTGGCAAAATTATGGACTTGATGAGTCAACTTGGAAGAAAGAAGAGGAGCTTAAAACGAAGTATCCAGAGCTCTTCGATTGACCCAGGTAAATTTTCGAGGAAGAAAATATTTTAAGGAGGGGAGATTGTAATGTCCCGAAATTTCATAGAACATAATTTAATTTATGTGTATTATATTTTAAATATTTTTGGAAGTTTAGGGACTAATGTATATATATATAGTAAATTTTAATTTTATTTGGGTGAAAAACTAGATATTGACGGAGCGACAATAAGTATATGAATATTGGGCTCGTTGGGTAAATCGTAATTAATCATGCATATTATGCTGAAGAAAAATTTAATTTGGATAATCTAAGCTTAAGATATTGATGTTTGAAGAAATTGATACTTTATAATATTTTATTTAATTGGTTTGTGTCATTAAGTCGGCCACGTGTGTTTCTTGTTCACAATAAAATTGATTTGAATTTAGATATTATATAACTCCCCACTTCCAACATTAAGGATGTGTTTGATTACATTAATTTTTCATGGAAAATATCAATTTTTCACCCAAATTCTTACTTAGAGTGTTTGATTACTATTTTTTTCCATGGAAAACATTTTTTTTGAGTAGAGGTGGTTTTTATTTTCCACAAAAGATGGAAAATATTTTCTTTTCTAGGTGATATTTTCCATGTCAATCAAACAC